AGTCCTGTTGAAAACATGCTTGGCGTAATCCACAACAGAGGAGCTTAGGTAACAAAATGTTGGGGGCTGAGGGCAACATCTAATCGTTTTTTGAAAACATCCAGGGTAGGAGAGGATACTACTGAGTCTGAGAGTGCGTTCCATGGTTTGCAAACTCGAAGGGAAAGTAATGCATGAATTGGTATGAATTGGTGACAAATTCGTTACTTCATTGTCCCTGAAAATAGCTCCTCCATGGTTATCAGCCGTGCAAACAAGTTAGCTACATTCAGCAAGAGGCGAAAGCGAGTTAGCTCAGTTTTGAACTGAGCGACCGATTGACTTGCTATTAATGAGAGTGGCAGTCGGTTCCATACAACGGAATATCGGAATAAGAAAAAGTTCGCGCGGATTTGCGAGCTGCACTTTGGTTGAGAAAGAATGCCGTTTCTGTTCCTTGTATTATAGACATCCTTATATGTAAACTTCAACTTGATGGTTTCGCTGAAGCTGAGGTGGTGTATCAGGTTGTAAAAGGAAACCAACTTCACAGTATTATTTGTAGTTTCAGAGGTTAGCTGCTCAGTAGCTTACATTTATTGTGATATGCTGCTAGCGATAATTCACTCAAAAGACTTCCGGTGAATTTCCGCTGCAAACGCTCTAATGATAGGTAAGCACGCCGGCGCATGAGACGTAATATAATCGGGCAATACTCAACAATTAGACGCAGGCTAAACAGATATAGTGCAAGTTTGCCTTTGGGTAGGATTATTGAGTTCCCATAGATGTGATTTACTTAGCTTTTGCTAAATCATTCGACAGGGTCGATCACTTCGTTCTCCTGCAAAAGCTTACTGACTACGGTATCAATGTTTCGGTGCTCAACTAGTTGGAAGACTCCTTACACGACAGAGCAACCAAGATAAGAATAGCCGACACTCACTCTGAAGACCTGTGCGTCTCCAGTGGTGTACAGCAAGGATCCGTCTTCGACCCGGTACTGCTTTTAGTCTACATATTACTCTCAACTCTCTTTTATCAAAAGTGATGGAATCGGAAGTCGCAGATGAACTAATGCGGTACGCTGAAAGTTTACAAATAGTTTTTAATGCCCAACATGGTTTCAGATGCAGACGATCTTGCCTCACCAATTCGTTGCTTACTCGGGAGTCATGAACTTTGGCAGCTGATGAAGAAATCCCCATAGATGTGATTTACTTGGATTTTTCTAAAGCATTCGACAGAAACAATCACTTCGTTCTCCTTCAAAAGCTTGCTGCTACCGTATAAACGGTTCCCTGCTCACTTGGTTAGAAAACTACTTACACGACAGAGCAACCAAAGTAAGAGTAGCCGACACTCAATCTGAAAGCCTGTGCGTCCCCAGTAGCGTACCGCAAGGATCCGTCCTCGTTACGCTACTGCTTTTAGTCTACATTAATGACCTACCAGCAGACATTCTATCCCCGATGCAAATATTCGCAGACGATGATAAAATATGATGAGCAATTCGTTCAGAATCCGACCGTGTTTCCTCCAGGGAAGATCTGACTCGGATCAACGTACGGGCAGAAAAGAACCAGTTCCCACTGAACCCAGCAAAGCGTTACCTGCTGACAGAGCGCAGCATCCACATCAACACAAAACTTGTGAGGCAACAGTTCTGCATCAGGTGAATAGTGAACGCGACTTAGGTATAATCGTGCAAGGGAGTCTTGGCAATTCGCTCTAATATTTGAAAGCAGCAAGTGTGGCGAACTTGAACTTGAGACTTTTGAGGCGAGCTCTCGGCACCATTGAGAGACGATTGGTACCAATGCTGATTAACTCCTATATTCGTCGTCACGTTGTATATGCAATTCAGGCCTAATGTCCGTCGTTAAAACGAGACATTCGCTTATTGGAGCAACTCCAAAGAGAGCTACAAAGGCAACGCGTGGACTTTTCGGTTACAGTAACGAAATGCGCTTTCGTGTACTCGGTGTGTTCTCAGAATACCGACGGCGTCACGGAGATCTTATTCTCACATAAAGGATGCTAACTGTGCGCGAGCATCGGTGTACATCACTTTTGACCCTAGCCCATGAAAAACAAAGCCGTGACAACCACCTGAAACTTTTGATGCAACACTTCCGTTTGAATTGTAGAAACTATTTTAGCACTTAAAACGGTTCCTTCGGGGATGCACTACCAACACATGTGGTGAACGAACCAGACATGACGACATTCGAAAGACTCCTAGACTTTCGTCTTAGTGATAAACGCTACACAACATTTTGATAAAGTGCAAGGGTTCAACCACTGATACTTCACGTTCAGCGTTGGAACATTTGGATTTTAATTTTCCTTTACAAATCTATTCGGCAGGTGTTGTAAAGTTCTGGTTTTTATCCCCTCATACACAGTTAAACCACTGAACTGACCTAGTCATCATTGCTAAGTTACATACGGTCTGTTGCCTTGCCTTGTTTTGTATAATTCGTTCAGCGTAGCATTGAGTTAGCTGTTTGCTTTACATACAAGTTCAATTACATCACGCCTACCTGCTTGGGCAACAAAAATTGCCCGTATCCGATTACCTTAAGTATTTGGATTCATCAAGTTTGGTGACTTGTTTTAATCGGTTTAAACTACGCCTGTAGTGAGGTCATTAGTGTGCATCTAAGGATCAGTTAAAGCAACCTTTTGTTCTCTGCACTCATCACGTTAAGTAAATAGCATTAACATGCCAACTGACCTTCAGAAGAGCAATATTTACTTGTCACTCAGAACCACCGAACGGTCTTTACGGTAGTGAGTGATTGCTATGGTGTGGAGAGCGTGTATCATATCTTTCCTGGAGAATGGGTTTTACCTATTTAATTGTGTGTTTGATATCCCATACCTGGTCGTTTTCCTTGTGCGATCTGTTTGAAAACACCGTATCGGTGATTGAATTAAGACTGCGATAGTTAGGGCTCGATTACCCGTGTTGAAATACACAAAGTCCTTTGCAGCTTCTTTAACCACGGGTACCTTATTCCTCTACATTCTTTACAATTATGTAACACTTAGGCGTCGTTTGTTTAAGAACCAGAACTCACTCGATATACATTGTGTACTTGTGGAGTGAATATGCAAAGTGATATCACGAACCGCGAGTACTGTCACGGCGATTCATTTAATTAAATTACCTGTTCACAGAGTTTGGGTCGACTCCGAAAAAGTTATATTCTAGGCCACCTGCCCCACATACCCAAAGATTCGATCAACTAGAGCAACAACTTATGCACTCTAGCACTAAATACCTAGCAAATTATTGATAAACATGATCAACTGAATACGCTTCGCGCTTCATACACCCAGTCAAATACTTGCACTTCTGTGTACTAGTTAAAAAACAGATAATCGCAAAAGAATATTCGGATTCCACGCCACAAAATAGTGACGGAGTAAGAGACGATCAGTACCGATCGGCATAACATTTTGGTAGCACAGCTTTAAGCTTATAACCCTCTCCTTTAATCTTCAAGATTGATTAGTACTCTAGCTTCGTTAATTGGTGGATCATTCTGCGTTTTGGATACGTGTGCTGCAAAGTGAGCTTGATTTGCCAAATAGTGACGACTAACGCCGGTGTGAAATCTACCGTAAGCTAGGGTACTGTGCATCAGTGCGATGTTTACCTTAGCTTTTTGACGCAAGATATATTATCCTGCGTCTATTCCTTTTCTGCGACCCGTTCATGGGCTCTGTACCTGTTTGCTTCATTGTTTGGTTGTATTGCGATTGACCAACCAAATGGCTAATTTTTGCTCGCATCTGGAAGACTATTCCTCTTCTACTCATGTTTTTAAAGGCGTATTTATCCCGAGTATTGCCTTTCAAGATTAATTGTGCAACGCGCTCCGAAACACTGCTGACTCCGGCGCACCAATGAGCGTTCCTTGATGGCAAGTATTCTTCCTGCTACTGATAACGCACTTGACGCAAACTGAGCTCCGTGAATGCGAATCGTTAAAAATCCTCACGGAACCCATCGAGTTGTAAGAAGCAGGGGCTTTCTATGTCGACTTTGATTCCCATGTTCGATAGGGTTTTTTATACGTTCAGCGGTCGTGGTGCTCCTACCAGTCACACACTGGTTTTTACGACTGATTGTACTTTACACTGATCAATATGGATGTCTTCAGTACTAATTCTGTTCAGATGCGCTGTTTTATCAGCCTATTTTTGTTGTTGGGTGGTTACCTACATTGGCACAAGATTGCTAGTGAAATGGTGTCAGTTGAACATCCACGTAAGATGTGTTAAGCAACATGATAGTGTGCATGCGTGTAGCTTTTCATGAAAGACCATCATTCAACTTCAAGTCATCTATTCCTCAAATAATATCTTTTCTGACTTCGCATATTAGATTTTGATATGAGAAGTACATCCCACTTTCGGCTTGATTTTACTTTGTGACTTGCGTGAAAAAGCTTTAGATCACTGGTGTGGCAATTTGTTAAATTGGCAAAACTCGACGTAACAGACATGAAGTTGAAAGCAGCTGACGTTCATAGTAAATCTTTGCTATATGCGAGTGTCAATGTTGCCTCACGCTGAGTTTCCAAATCTGTTTTACTCTATGGTGAAGCTAAATCAGTTCAAAACAGTGTGTATGTCATTCTGATAGAAATCCGTATATTGAATCCCCGTAGGTTGACCTAGTTTTTATTCTGCAATGGTACACCTTGCTTAGATGCTGGGCTTCAAATACTCGGATACGGAAAGCTGCGGCTGCCATTGGAAACACTAACAGTCCTACCTAATTTTAACGAGACCTAAAAGTCAAATAACTAGAAATGTAAAGATTGCCTCCAGGCATTTTATGCTAAAAGTCAAAATGGAATATGCCGGCAACCTTTACCTTTACATCCATGGAGAGTGCCAGTGTAGCAATCAACACGCAACATCGTCCACAACAACTTGGTATAAAAACGGTGCAAATTACCATCAATCCATTTGCCTTCAAACTAAAATAGCTAAAAGCTCACCATTATCTATCTCATCAATTTGTGCTTCGATCAGCTTCTCTGGTAACAGTGGCTTGGTCAGCGTTTTCGCAAATAATTCCAGACAGGCCTGTATCCGATCCGGTTCGAGTTCAAAGAAGAAGCATGAGTATTCGTATGTGACATAGGACCCGGTTTTAATTTTGCAATCCTTGGCATTTTCCCCAAAATTAGTCCCCGAGTAACCGTTGTACTCCGCAAGCAGCACTGTGAAAACAATGGGTTCTATTTGATGTATTTTGACCACCAAGTAAACGGAAGACAGAGTATTGTGAAGAAGCAACTCCGTTATATAAGTGGTTAATTAGTGGAAACCAAAGACAACACAGAAATTAGAAGTGATGCGTACGTTGAAGGCAAAAACAACTAGACGAATCTGCTTCGCTGATAGTCTGGCTGAAGAACTACGGTTAATTACAAATACACGCATTAAAAACGGCTAACCCCGAAGGTTCATCGAGAAACATAGCCAAATGGGAAGAAGGGACCTAGTGCACACGGTACCTAAGAAGCCTGTTGTCATGGAACTGTCATTCAAAGGTGATGTTTCGTCGTTGAGGACCACAAGGCGTCTGCTCCGTCCAATGCAGACAACTTACTATGCCGCCAACGTCGTTGTCATTAATCAAAACCAAAAACCGTCACTTCTTTAACAAAAGGTTCCGCCTATTGGGTCAAAATCGCATTGCATTTATCAATTCAAATGTGACTGCGGCGCCAGTTGTATACGCAGGACCGAGAGAACATTGAGTTCCAGAATGAAGGAGCATGTACCTAAGTGGGTTCAACGTTCGACTGAGCAAGAAGCTTGCCAAAGTCAAGCTGCTTGTCTGAGTAAGCCACCGGCCTCTTTGAACGACCAACATTTATTGACCTCAGGACACCGAGTTGACGTCACTTCGGCGTTCACAATCTTATTCCAGCGCATCAATTCTCGCCTCTTCCTTTTCGCAGAGGCGATTGCAATTAACCGGATTAAGACGCTTTTGTCTTTAGAAACAATTTGCGGTCATCATTTGACTGCGCTTGGGATAGGGGTGATAACCCCGTCTCGCTTATCGTGCGTTGGTCTGTTTGTTTTTTTACATGTATGCATAGCGACATTCGTTTTATAAGCACCAGATGGCTGCACCCGGAGACCTACGATGCAGATCTTTATCAAATAGCTTATGGTGACAACAGAGTAAACATACGTATGTACAAATGTTGGAATACTTGGACATTTGCAAAACAACGGTAGCACTGTTTGGAAAGTCGCATATTTGACAGTGGGCAGCGGGACTTGATGTCACCTGTCAATATCAAAGGTTGTGCGCTTATCTCGGGTAGCAGGTGACCGGACCGATGGGCGACACGAAGAGCCAAAGTGGACACTTCATCACATTCGCACGCTTTGCGATCTTCCCCATCAGCTACACAAAACAGACTGTACTTATAGACGGCAACACTTAAGTGCACACTATTTCACTGTACCGGTAGTTTGGCTATCCTTCTACCTAGCAGTTGCTTCACAATTGCAATATCGCGTTCCTTCAAATATGGATGCCCAAGATTTAAGGCTGTCACGTCTAAATGTTGAAGAAAACATCAACAGTTCGTATTTGGGAACTTTTTGTCATGCCCGGGAAAGTGGTTGTTAGCCTGACTTCCAAACGAAACCCATACACGGTAGTCGTACCATTGATCATGATGTCTAATGTGTCTCTCTCCAGTTTGTGACAGCTCACACTTCAGTTTGGATAAACGCATCTGCATATGTTGTATTCGAACTGCTATTGGACACGGATGACGCCAATCTATGTATGCATGTATACCGAATGAATTCAACGAGGATACTCATACCGCTTTTCTACGGCTAACTTAGTGCAGGGAAACGGCACTCGAGCAAAACGAAAATAACATTACCAGAACATGAAGAAGATGAGTTTATGACAAACTCAGCTTGATTATAGGTGTTCAGCATCTAAGTCAAATTTTGATCAATGCGAATTCCTTGGACTACTGTAAAGGGTGGTTGCCCAAGTGCAGGAGAAGGCACTATTGCAGGTGGAGTAGAAGCACAATGAGTAGGCTCCCATTTGATTTACTAATCCAGGCCAATAAGGCGGCGTATGCGGTACGTTTGCCTACGTGACGAGTAATCTTGCATTTCAGAAGTAGATGTTTCAGCTCCATGGTGTGGCTGCGCCTGAGATGAATGTTGAAAAGGTGCCTACCTGTCTATTATCCACTATCTCTTCCATACTGGCTCCAGGAGACAGTTGGTCGTTGCTGGTGGGGACTGAGTGCACCGTCCTCGTGACGGTGCTAGACTTAAAGAGTGGTTCCATTCTGTGTAGAACGGGCTACGGTCCAGCCATGGCCATGTGTACGTCTGGTGTGCATGACTTCCCAATTTTACCGGAATTATTCTATCCTGCTTGTTGAAGTAGGGTGCGCCGGCTCCGTTGATGAAATGTGGCTCCAATTCACATACCTCCAGGTCTTATTCCTTTGCGTTTACACCGGATATGGGTGTGTGGGTGAAAATGTGGATAGTGCCGCGCACGCCACATATGGACATCTGTAGACGCAGGAGTCTTGTGACGGTACCCATGAAGGTCACAGTGACAGGAGAATCCGGGTACGGACGCCACCAAATCATCATGTTTGGTAGGCGGTGCAGCGCAAGCCACATATGATCCCTCCTTAGGCGCAGGCGTCCTGTGATTGTCCACAGTGATAGGTAAATCCGAAACCGGATGCCGCCAACAGTGTTTCGTCGACCCCTACTACCTTGTGTGCCAAGCTATTGAGCCAAAGGCTCCAGGTGAATTCCCTCTAGCAAACCTCCGAAGCACAACCACCACGTCACGTGCGATTGTTCACCAACGCAATCGTATGCCGGCGCAAAATACTCTAAATCGGTTGCTAGAACGTACGCACACTACTGGGCCGGAACTCCAGCGAGCGCCCGGAGCGACACATTGCAGTGGTCGCGATGGAACTGGCGCGCTACAACATCGATATTGCGGCGCTCAGTGAAACCCGGCTCACTGAGCAAGCTAAGTTGCATGGAGCAAGTGTTGGCTACACGTTCGACTAGGTGGGCAACGGCGCCTCAGCAGCAAGTGAAGATGGGGTCGGAGTTACAATATCCGATTGGCTGCATGGCCAGCTCGTGAAACAACAGGCATCAACGAACGACCGATGACTGTTCGCCTACGACTCGGAAGAGGCAAGTTTGCCACTTTTATGAGCACGTACGGTCCGACCCTGTGTTATCCTGACGATACGCTTGATCAATTCTACACTCACCAATCCTCCGTGATACGGTCTGTGTCGAGGAGCGACCGACTATTTCTGCTGGGTGATTTCAACGCGCGCGTTGGACGTGCTGCATCGGTGTGGACAGATGTTATCGGTCCGTATGGCATTGGTTCAGCGAATGCGAACGGTGACAGGCTGCTTTCAGTGTGTGCCATTCACGGCCTGACGATCACGAACACTCGGTTTGCACTTTGTGCGTGTGATATAGCAACTTGGAAGCATCCACGGAGTGGTCACGCTCACCTGCTCGACTATGTCATCGTATGTCAGCCTGATATGCCAGAGGTGCGCATAACACGTGTACTGCGTGGAACTGGGTGTGGCACGGACCAAAAATTGGTGCGGACCAACTGTACATACATTTTCTTAAATTTATGTATTGCACTACCGCCGTGAATCTGCGTACATTTAATGTTCTCTCCCTCGATACTGTGGTGAAAAGTATTGGGCTGGAGAAGGCGATGGCTGCACTCCTGTGTGATGTGGAATGCATAGCAACAGTGGGCGACCTGTCGCACTGCATTCGCGATCAGGTGACAGCTGCTGCCGAGGATACCAACGGTCTCCTAAATTGTAAGCGGCCTGATTGGTTTGATGAGAACAGTGCGACGATTGGCACAGTGATGTCGTAGAAGAATGCAGTATTTTTTGCATATGTGGCAGACCTCAGTGGCTTGGGGAAGAATAGTCAGTTTTACAAACTTCGACGGCGACTGATTCGAGAGCTCCGTCGCATTAAAAATGCAAGGTGGACGAAAAAGGCGAAGCAGATGGAATGCTACGCCGAACGCCACCAACACAAGGAATTCTTTGACTCCTTGAATGTGGTGTATGGACCAAGATTAGAGTCGCTCATGAGGCTGATTGATGGTAGTTCAGGCGCTACCTTCACACAGACTGCAGACATAATGCAGATCTGGCAAAAACACTTTGACTGTCTCTTGAACAACCGTTCAAAGATCGACTGACCTACAATGAATGGCCTCAAGCAGCACGATGTGAAGGCGAGTCTGCGGACCCGCCGACACTAGACGAGACTCAGAGAACACATGCTCAGCTGAGATACGGCAAGTGTGCTGGTACAGTCAGGATCACGCCTGAAGAGTTGAAACATGGCGAACCTGCGTTGGTGACTGCGCTGCACCAGCTGGTGAAACGCATGTGGATTGAGGAGGACGTGCCTCCTGAACTGAATGATGGCCTTGTGCTACCAATGCAAAAGGACAAAAGGAACAAGCAATGTTGCACGAATTATCGTGGCATCAACTTGCTGAGTTGTGTGGGCAAGGTGATTGCCCGAATCCCGCTCAACCACCTCGTCTGTCAGGTTGCGGAACCTAACGTAGCGGAAGAGCAGTGTGGAATCCGTTCGGATCTCAGTATTATAGATATGGTGTTTGCGGCTCGTTAGTTGCAGAAGTGCAGAGAAGGACACCAGCCATTGTACTCGTTTTTTGTTGATTTCACCAAGGCATTTGATACGGTGAACCGCGAGGTTTTGTGGCTGGTGTTGGGTAGGTTTGCTTGTTTATGTAATTTTGGAAGTTTAATTGAATGTCTGCACAGTGGTATGCGGACGACTGTGCAGCTGAGGGGAAATACCTCGAATGACTTTGCAGTTGTCTCTGGTGTGAAGCAAGGATGTGTCTTAGCTCCTGCCTTGTTTAATATTTATCTTCATGTAATGATGTCTTGTGCTTTTGATGCTACCTGTGCTTACGGTGTTTGTGTGGAGCACCGTATTGATGGTGGATTGCTGAACATCCGTCGTTTCGGTGCGAGAACTCTAGTCTGTGAGATAACTATCCGTAAGTTGCTGTTTGCTGACGAATGTGCTTTGATTGCACACAGCGCGGATAATTTGCAGCACATGACTAGTGCTCTGGCTTCAACAGCGA